CTGCTGGCCAAATTCCTATCTCAGTCTGCCGCTCAATGGAAATCATATAACTATCTCCTTTTGGGAACTGATGTTAGAGAAAGTCAAGAACGTCTTCAATCATGGAAAAACTCTTACGTTTCCAAAGGAGGTAGACACACCCTTATACAAGCCACTCTTAATAACCTCCCCACATTACTTGTCATTATTTTTCATGCCTTTTAAAGTAGCAGCTTCCCTCGATAGCATCTTTAGATGGTTGCTATGGAAAGGATCTAATGAGAATGGAGGCATGCACTTAGTGAAATGGGGCATCATCACTCGGCCAATAGCAGAAGGGGGACTCAGCCTCACAAGTATGAAGGAAATTGATGCAAAATATGGGAGATCTTAGAAGAAATTTAGACCGGGAACAACATCATTTCCCAATGCAAGAGGCCCTTGCAAAGCAATCCTAAAGCATCAGGATCTGTTTTTTGACCGATTGATTTTCAAGATTGATGATGGAAGAAGGATATCCCTCTGGAAAGATCCTTGGCTGTCTGATGAACCTTTGAACAGAAAGTACCCCTTGCTATATGACTTAACTTTGGAGAAAATGGCTGTGGTTAAAGATCTTTGGAATGACAAAATAGATGGAACCTGAAGCATAGAAGAAATCTTAAAAGAAGAAGAAATACAAGAATGGGCAAACCTAACTCTTCATCTATCCAGCTTCAGCTTCACAAATGCAGCAGATCCTGTCTACTGGAAGCTGGAGCCAGGGGGACACTTTTCTAAATCTCTTATAAAATATCTCTCCAGTACCCACTATAATATAGCCAGTGATTTAAAAAGCTCGAGGCGCACAAAAGCTCAATAGACCTCTGGAGCTTAAGCGCGAGGCGCACTATATATAGAAACAAATAAAAATATATATATACACATATAAAACATATAAAAGCCAAATAAGATTAGAAAACATCATAAGTCTTAGCATAAAGAATCAATTATCCACAAAAACATGAAAGAGATATATAAGAAGTTGGAAAGAGATGGAGAGATAGAGACGCAGATAGGGAAAGAAATATAAGAAGGGAGACGTTTGAGTTGTTTTCTTGTACGGAAAGTAATAGAAATTAGAAGATGAAAGGGCGTGAGAGGTGGGAGGGAAAAGAATCAGTAAACATTAAACAATTAGGCTACTTATTGTTAAGATTTTTTCCAAAAAAAAAGGAATAAAATCTTTCGAAATCTATTATAGCCGCACGTTGCCACGTTCAATTTTTTTTTAAAACAGAAGACCCTAAAATAGACGTATGTCACTCCTCAGGATTTTTGGCAGATGAGTGAGGAGTATTCATGGAGGGTTTTCAAAATAAGCAACTGAATATTTGAAGCAAACCATGGATGCAAAATGTATGGGTTTGAAGAATAATTCTTTACCAATTGTTGTAAGTCTGTTGGGGGATAAATCGAAACATGATTCACCAATGGTGTAAGAAACAAAGATGAAACAGCAAGGGAATAGAAATGTAAATGAAGAAAAGAAGTTGAAACGGCAAGAAAATAGAGATATTGGTGGCTTGGACCAATCAAATTCAGTGTTTTCGGAATACAATGTGCACTTCAAGCTAACAAATCTCTTAATCGCCTCAAGCCAAAAGGTGGCAACCGGAAACAGGTGTTGCTTGAGTGGAGCAAGGCATACCTTAATAAATAAATAAATAATATATGTATATGGAATAAATTTATAAAGTATACATAGCCATAAAATACCAAAGCATTGAAAGATCAATATAAAAATAAAATACATCTAAATGTCATAAACATACATTACAACATTCGTATTCTACAAGTTCCAAAGAAACATTTAGTCTTTTGAGATAAAGAAGGTAAAAGCGAAAATGTGAAAATCAGTAGAAACCAAAAAAAATTACACAGATAACAGGAAAAGAAAACAAATGATGGAAAATTATATTAAAAAAAAATGAAGGTTGGAATAAAAACTGACTCAAACAGTTAGCAACACAAAAGCTGGAAACATACTAAATTTCTTTCAATCAACTCCCACCTAATGAATCTTCAGCTACCCTAGACTTTCGATTGTTCCTTTCCTCCTGAGAAATCTGAAAGTTTCCAGCCTTGAAGGACTACCAACTACCTCCTTTAATTATTTTCTAGGAATTACCAACTCCAGCGTTTCCAAATTCCTTTCAATTAAGCTCCATTTAGTATTTTACAGAGCTTTTACCCTTTTTTATCACACTAACTAGTCCCCCAACATCCTCTTTATGGTGTTTTACTTCATTATTTTTGGCTTCCCTCCTTATCTTCATTGAAGAAAACTGAGGAGTCTTTCTCATCAAACTGAGGAGTCTTTCTCATCAAACACCTCACTTTACAAAGCATATTGAATTTCCTTCCTTTTTTTTCAAATTCACATCCACTCAACTCATTATTCGTATAAGGAGAAGAAATTCAAAAGAAAATAGGCAAGAACCTTAATCAAATTTCTGGTTTAAGCTTGTTTTTGAACTTTCTGTGGATGTTGCAAGCTCGAACATCTTGAAATGATGGCTAAGGAGTCGGAAGATCGAGTGGGCTGTTCAAATGTTTTCTTATTGATTTCCCACTGATTTTCAGAATTTTTTGCTTAAAATTTATCATGCCCCTATTATATACTTATCATGCTCCATTTTTTTACTAAAGTGCTCCTCCTTCCATATGTCAACAATGGTGAGGGGTGCACAATGCCAAGCACCATGTTGAAGGCGCTCGCCATTGCATTGCTTACTACAAGGTGAGAGGTGTGTACCTTGCATTGCCTTGTGGCATAGATGCTCGCCTTGAAAAACATTGATCAAATTAGAGCGCATTAATATCTAGTAGGATTGGTAGTAAGACAGTAGGAGGGTTTGGAGTAGCTGGACGAGGTAAAGAGGATAATTTCATTGATGAAAGGAGGACAATTCCAAGGAAGATGAATGTAGAGCCAAAGCATTTAAGGCCAATCTGCCTTAAATGATCAAGGCATTACATGACAAAAATTCAAAAGTCAAAGATCTTATCTTATCATTGTAATATTCAATGTAAGAAAATTTAAACGTCATATTATTAAGTGGACATAACTTCTCCAACGACAAAAGAGAGTAACATATTCTACAAACTACATGACAAATCCCACAAAAGAGAGAAAACAGTTCCCACAACTTCTCACATCATCCATTTGATTTTATTGAGAAAATAATATTTGTTTTCCTTCTCTTTTTATACTTCCTTTGAACTAATTTTGTATCTTTATTTGTTTAGCTCCCAAGCCAAGCATGATCAAGATTTAAATATCTTTACGTCATTCTCTCTACTATAAATGTGTCCCCATGTGACCCAACTATATCTAAAATTCTAAAAGAATAATAAAAAATAGACACTTTAAAATTTAAGTCAATATCTAAACATGTCCAGGATCTGTTCAAAATAGTTTTCACGCAAATGCACATCATCTGTCTTAATCTCATATAGCCCCAGGTAAAGCTACAAGATGAAGTTATCTTATGAAAATGACAATCATGCTCCCAAAACTACAAATGAAGTAATACAATTAACCACTTAAAATATGCATTCTGTATTATCTTGCTATAAAAGCAGTTGCAAAAATTAGCTTAGATCTGTCCTAAATCATATAACAGAGCCATTCATAAATGCCTCGACAGTTTAAAAACATAAATAACAAAAAAAAAAAATCTAACACCAGAATCATAACATATGTATCATTATGCAACTACACTCCAATGAAGAGATATATTAAAAGTGAGAAATATATTAAAGTGAGTTCGTATCAAAAACAAGTCTGTTAAGCTACAAATTTAGTACCTGAATTATGATGATGGTGTGTATTTAGTCCCTAAGTTTTAAAAAGTTACAATTAGGTCATTGAAGTTTGAATCTTTCTTCTATGTGATCCCTCTGGTTAACATCCTTAGTCAAACGGTGACATAGCATGCCTATTGGAAACATTGACTAATTTGGAACGTGGCAGATAAATGGTAGAACATGAACAACTTAACAAAACAAAGCTTGACATGCACAAGGCTACTATCTTTTTTCAGAGACATACCAAACTCCTTTCCACACACTATGCCACTTTATTTTGTCCCATTGTTTATTTTGTTCAATGGTTTGTTTGTCACATCATGTCAAATTCAGTCAATATTTGTCCAATAAACATGTCTCATCATTTAGTTAACAATGCTAACGTCAGGGAATACATAGAATAACATTTCAAAGTTTCGGACTAAATAGAATATTATCAAAGTTCAAGTTAAAGGATGAAATTAGTAATTGGACATGAGAAAAATTAAAGTTTGTAGGTTTGAGAACTACTTCTAAAATAATTATTTGTTCTTTAAAACAAAAATTCAGTAAAAAGGTGATTGGACAGCTGTTCTATAAAAGTTTTTTTTTTCCCCTTATTTTCCTTAACTTCATTTTCATGTATGATCTATTCTTTTAAGAAAAAATGGAGTTATTCTTTCTTCCAAAATCACGCATTTGTGACCAGTAATTTCAGTGTACATAATAATATAACCTTTACACGTTTCTAAACAAAGGGTTCTGAAAACATAAACAATGATTTTTCTGTGGAACACAAACAAGGCCCAAGTTATTTAGCTAATTAGCCAAGTATTTGCACAAAATCAACTATTATCAATGACAAATGGGAAAAGAAGTCAGAACAATATTCTCTTCCCAGTCTGACAAAGTACCCAACATTAAACAACGGACTAACTTCTATTCCACAAAGAAATTATAGGAAAGATTGACAAAAAATTAAGAGAACCATTATCCTTGACTAAGGTTTGGCATCTTTACAACACCCAGAAACAAGTTAACGTTTTCTAAATGTCAAACATACAAGAAACATCATGCAGATAGATGAATCAACAGTAAGAAGCAAAAATCTACGAGATCATGAACAAATTTCCAGGCACAATTCCAGCAAACTCCAAAAAAAATATTTATATTAGAAGGCCAATACTCACCAGCTTTAGAGTTTAAGTTAATCTAGATCCAAGAGAAATCAGAAGAGAGAGATCATACTGCACCTGCAATAGAATTCCAAACAACACCCCAAAATTATTTATGGATTCATACAAATGGCAGATAGACAAGAACAAGAACGTGCTTAGGCGAGTAACCACGCAACAACCAAAAGGGTAGAATTGATTAAAAAACCCAACTCGCACATGGCCTTGACTTTAAATCATGTAAAATCAAAAAAAAATTAAAATAAAAAACAAACAATAGATTCAAAAAAATATAAAGTAAAAAAAGATTTCAGAAAAAATAAAAATAAAAGGAAAATTCAAAGCAAGGGAGACCTTCAAAATTGATAACAAACGAACATTCAGAACATACACGAAACGTGTAGCATTCAGAATCGATTCTTACAGAAAGAACAAAAGCGAAAAAGAAAGGATAAATACCGAGAAAAAAATCCAGAAACGTAGAGGTTGAGAAACTGTATCTATATTTGTGAAAATTTGTGGGGAAGCACGTAGAGCATGAACTGAAGAAAAGAAGAGTTTGAAGAGGGAAAATGTAAAGGGAAATGAGGAGGGCTAGGGTTTTCGAGCAGAGAAGAGCGAAGAAATCGAGGGAGTTATGGGCGGGGACGGAGAAGGAGAAGGAGGAGAAGCTATCTCATTTCGTTACCAAACAAGAGAGAGAGAGAGAGGAAAGCGCATAATTCGAGTCATTTCCACGCCACTTTCTTTCTTTCTCTCTCTCTCTTTTATGTCGTACATCGTATGGAAGAAGATTGCGTGACCCATTCGGGAGAAGGAAAGGGCGTGCGCTCACGCGCTCGAGAGGCGAGTGGAAGGTATCACGTGGCAACGCCGTCGCGAGAAGCAGATGCCGGCGCAACATCAAGATCTCATCGGACGGCGGATCGGATCGATTCGGATCAGATCCGACGGACCTGGTGAGGTTGCTTCTCGGGGAGGTCGGTGACACGCAATCATAATAAAACCCTTTTAAAAGCGGATATAAATTATAATCAAATCAATCACACATGAAAAATATCTCAATTCTTCGCCCCTTTTCCTTTTTCAGTTATCAAGCAATACCCTCAACTTCAATCCGTCGAACCAAAACAAAGCAAAACACCTGGCTCAATTCTTGGGTCATTTTATAAAACAATACTATAAAATTATAATTTTAGTAGCATATGAATTATACCTCAATAAGTCTCTAAACTTTTAATTTCTACCTAAATGATTCTTAATTTTTAAAAAGTATATAATGGACCTAAGTTTGAGATTTTTGGTATAATAAATCTTTCAATGTTATATCTAACAAATTTTCGACCTATGACGTTTTAAAAAAATTTATTAATCTATTAAATACAAAATTGAAAGGATAGAGTAGTATTAGACACAAAATTCAATTTAGTGTATAATAGATTTGTGATTTTTTTGAAAATCTTGAACAATTCATGGACCTATTAGATATAATCGTGAAAGTTTAGGTTTTTTCTTAAGTACTCATTGGTTTGTTTAGGTTCATGTCCATCTTTAAATGTTAGGCTATCTAATTTCAAGTTCAAATCTCTAACTTGCAAAATGGCACACATATATATATATTTAATCTGAAAAAAAAATAAAAAATATATATTTTGAAATTTCTAGTAAATTATTTTTAATTAATTTGATTCTATTAAAAATTTTACTACATATTTCAAGTTTCATTATCTTTCTTATATTTTTATATAGATAATGTACTCATATCTCATTTTGAACAAACTAATGAAACAATTTACGTATAAAGTTATAATTTTTAGTAATTCTTTCACAAAAGAAATTGTATTTAACCGAAGTAAACTAATGTCGGGAATGGCTTCAGGAAACAATATTTTCTTTATTATTTTAAGGAGTAACTTGTACGGAATGACTACTAATTCACTATTTTTAAGTGATATTTTACTCCTCTACAAATAGAATGTGATTTGTCTATAAATACAAATTTTTTTTTGTTTTACATAATACACACTTCTTCCCTTTTTCTTTTGTTTTCCTCTATAGTGTATGTTCCAACTCATAGTCACGAGTGGATGTGTCTTGGAGTTGTGTTATCCTCGAGGTGAATAGTTTAATCTCGGTTACACCAAATCAAGTCAAAATTTCGCTTTCGGGACAGTGGTTCTTCTACTACACTATTTCATTTTTTTCCAACAATCTAAAATCAAAAGCTATCCAATTGTCAAAAGTATTGTCTAATCTCTCTACACTCAATCCTCTTAATGGAACCAATTACAAACACTAGTATGATAAGTTTCTCGTCTTCTTCGAACAATTGGAGGTTGATTACTCATTGTTTAATGTCATTTCTGAAGATTAACCTGATTCTACTATTTCTGTCACTCTAGTGGTCACGCCTCTGATAGACATATTCTAGAAGACAAATGATGAAGCAAAGGCAAAATTCTACAAGGACAATAAAACTATCAGGGGTCACATCCTGAATCACATGGCCTGTTTGCTTTTTGACCTTTTTGTCAATCAAATGTATGGGAAAGTTATTGGGATCATTTGGAAAAAAAATATATGGGTTGATACAATTGGAAGGAAAAATATGTTGTGGGAAAATAGTTGCAGTTTCAGATGGTTGATAGAAAAGTCTATAATGGACAAGGTTTATGAATATAAAAATATAGTTGCATATGTGCTAGGCATGAAAATGTGTGATATTTTCGCAAGCTAATATTTTGATACGCAACAACCCACATATGGACTAGACAAACCTCTAACCACTTGAATCCAATCGTATACTTGGTTAAACTCAAAAGGGAAGAGTTAGACGGATTACCTTTACAGTCAAATACCACGAGTAGACAAGTTACTCACTATACTCAAGGCAACACTCCACAAGTTTGATGACCAACCAATCTTTAATACTTCTCAGTGATGCATCCTAAGTTCTACCACACAAAGGAATATATCAAGGGGTTTTGCGCAAAGGCAAAGGGGTGGAGAGAAACATCTCTAAGTTTTATAAACTCCAATAAAAAAAACCAACTATCATCAAAGAACTACAAGGGGGTCTACATATACGAATATACCATGGGGTTTTGAGCAAAGACAAAAGGGTGGAGAGAAACATCTCTAAGTTTTATAAACTCCAATCGTCGAAGAACTACAAGGGGGTCTATATATAGGCTAAGGTCAATGGCATTTAAAAGGATTTTGAAACATAAAAATAATTCTAAAATCTAAGGAAAATAAAAGTACAAAGATCCTTACCTAATTTCGAAAATATAATGCTTGCCTAAAATACTAAAGAAAATAATTCTCTTAACAAAAAAAAAGATTAAATCTAAAACAAATAAAATAAGATAAATTTTTTAATCAAATAAGGAAAATTTTCTTTGAGTGACTAAGAGTGGGCGGGAAGCCAAAGGGGGCGAAGCAGCCTCATGGTGCGCATCTGCAGGCGAGGGCTAACAAGGCGTGCATGGTGTCGCAACGTGATTACGACGTGAAGCGGCCGACGTCCTCTTTTAAGGGTCTCTTAAAATAAAAGAATTTAGAGTTGCTACCAATCATGTTAAGAGTGTGATTGTTCACCCAATTAGAAGAAAAATAAATTGGTCTACGCAATCCGATTGAGTTCGAAAGTCATTTGTGTATAGGAAAGATATTAGCACCCTACGACACTCGTGAAAACGGTTACCAATATTTTATTTTTATTATCCAATTTATTAAATTATTAAAGGTCCACAAAAGTTTATTTATTTTATTTTTAAATGTCTCATATTTATTAATCCACATTTTAGAAATAAAACATGGGTTAATAATTATGGGTGACATAAATGTCATTCAAAATATTGAAATTTGTTTTTAGAAGAAATTTCATGCATTTAAGGAATTTAATAAATTCCATGAACACTACTCAATCTCCCTTTTGTTTTTTAGAAAAATTGTGAGTAGTTTTTGAAATTCATTTTAATTATTTTATGAAAAAAAGTTTTAAATTATTAAAATTCAATTTTAAAAGGGGAATTTCATGTATTTATGGAATTTATAAAAAAAAAAAACTATAAAGAGAACACTACTTTACTCCCGAAAATCTTCATGTGTTTGTGAGTTTAGAAAAATTCACAAAGTGAACACTACTAATTCTAAAATTTGGTTTATGTTGTTTGTGAAAAAATTGGTTTTCAGGATTTTGTAAAAAATACGTTTTGGGAGGAATTTCATGTGTTTATGGGATTTTAACAAAAATCCATAAAAAGAACACTACTCAACCTCGAAAATTAAATATTTATTTTCTCCAATTTTATTTTGAAATTATATGGAGAAAATTGTAGCCGATTAATTTTCTATTTTCTATTTGTTATTTTGATATTTTATGTTTAGATAAATGGAATTTCATGGAGGTAAGGAATATAAAAATATATATAACAATAAATTGCATAACATCATGATTTTAATTCCGATAAAATAATAATTAACAAGAAAATAAATTAAATTTTCTATGTTATCTAATAATAAAACATTTAAATGAAACTAACAGTAAACAATAGTTCAATCGATACATATTACAAAATAGAAAAGACGCCGTATCTCAAACACATTAACTAATTTGTGAAATTGAAATTATGGTGCAAGTCAAATTACATCAAACTATATTCCACAAAATAAATCCACAAAATAACATTTCAAAATGCATTCCCTCCTATTATAATTTAAAATAATAATAATTAAATAAAGAAAAAGAAAGGAAATAAAGTTTCAAACCTTTTAGGTCTCGTTTACTTACCCGCAATCATTATCAATTAATCGTAATGAAAATTTTGATTCACTTTGATGGTGTTTCCAAATTGTAAGAATGTAATCAAATGGTGGGACCCACCTCAAACTTTGTAATCTCATTACATGGAAAGATGTAATCCCATTACACTCTTACAACCCCATTAATCTCATTCTCATTCCTTATTCCATAGACCCCACATATATATTATAATTAATGTACCATTTTTATCTTTTCTCTCTCATCTATGGATTAGATCCATATAATTTTTAATTAGTTTTTTTATACTTTTATAATTTCTTCTCCATTTATACTCTAATTTTTATTAGTTGATGTGATTTTATTATATAATATTAACATTAATTAATATCAATAAATTTTTTAAATAGATATTATTACTTTTAAATATTAGAATAATAAAAATTAATAATATGTTTTATTAAAGTTTGGTTGTTCTAATAAAAAATATTTTATTTGATGTAATTTTATTTTAATTATTCATTATGTATTAATATTAGATAAATTTTTATAATAAGAAATATTTACTATCAATAATATATTAATAAATTAAATTAAAATTTATTATTATTGTAATTTAAAAAAGATTAACACAATAATATATTTGTAATTGGCTACAATGGAGAAATGTGTATATTAGTAATTGTCAAATATTTGATTCCGATTCCAGACAGTTTTAGTAAACAACATCAAAGGAATTCTGATTACGATTCCAGAAAATTTCTAGCAAAGAACATCAATGAAATAACATTACGATTCCGATTGATTTCATTACGATTGATTTTCATTATGATTGCGATTACGGTTAAGTAAGCGTGACCTTAGTAAATGTTGATTACAAGAGGATTTCGTGTATTAGAGACTAACAACTAATACCTTTTGTTGAATAAAATAATATATAATAAAAAATAAAACTCAAAGCCTTTAACAATAACTTTGAACATTTTTTTTTTCAATGAACCAA